AACTGAGCTAGGGGGTTACAGTATTTTTTTAAAAATCTATATATAAGTGGACCTGCTCTGTTCAAACCTGTGTTATTCAAGGGTCAAGTGTATGTGCATATAGATTTCTGTTAGCTATTTGTCACTGCTTATTTGGTAAACTTAAGCAGATTGCTGAAAGGAGCCAGGATAATAAGAAGAACATTTGGGTCCATGGGCACAGGAGCATCACAGAAGTGTCTATAAATAGACAGACAGGAGGAGCTTCATGCTGACTCTGTTGAATTGTTGGGTTATAACTGACCAGGGAAAGACTAGTGAGCCAGAGAGATTCAAGATTCAGAGAGAGAGGATGCTCTAGAGAATGGGGGTGGGGGTGAGGTGGGGGGTGGTATGTGATCCACAGCATAGGTAGAAAAAATAGCCTTAATAGGTGGAAAGAGGAGTGTTATTTTGGAAGCAGGAAGTTGGGGGAGTTCCTATTAAAGACTTCTGTTTTCCTTATAGAAGGAGGTGAAGTCATTCTTGGAAGGTGGAGGTGGGAAGGTTAGAGATTTGTGGAGGTTTAAAAAGCCTGTTGTGAACAATATGAAACACTTGTCTTAGCCTGGCAATCCTGTGGGCCCCTTTGCAGGCAGAACTACAGAAAGGCAAGGGAATGTGGAGTCAAAGTAAAAGACAAAGAGCTACAGCATAGAGAAGGAAGAAATAAAGGCAAAAGAAATTAGTCCAATGGGAGAGAGAGAGAAGAGGTCAATGAACCTGGGTCTGGGGAGTGACTGAGGAAAGGGCGAGGTGAGGGCTGGGAAAGTTTGGTCAGACAATGGGTTGTCTAAATTACCATTATCATTTTACGTGTAAGAAACAGTATCAGCTTGAAACAAAAGTAAATATACTTTTATGCCAGCTATATCATCTTGGCTGGTGTAGCTCAGCTGGTCTGATTTCCGGTCAGGGAACATACCTGAGTTGTAATCCTGCATTTGTGCATTGTTTTTATTGGTAGATTGTATTTTCAAACTTTTTAAAATGAAATTTGATATAGGCTTACATGGTTGGATCCAGACTGGGGATCTAGAGCCCCCTCCACCTTCTACCAGCTTTACAACCCCCAAGACTCCACAGAATGCAATTGAAATATCACCACTGCTCAAGCTTTGAGACTGAAAACAGTTTTATATCAAGTGAACACAATTCTGGTCTTGTTTGATAAGATGCTGGGTCACATATTTGCTGCCAAAGTTATGATATCATCTCAAGAGCACATTTTTATATTTTCCATACTTTCTGTGGTAGGCATGTATCACATCTGTAATATGTTCTAACTGGAATCAGAAATGCGGTTGGCCCTGGATTCAATAATGCATCGAGAACCACTAAGGAAGCTAGTACTTAAGAAGTCCAAAGCTGGGGAAAAGAAGCAGGTAGAAAAGGAGCAGGTAGAGCTAATCTTCTGTACTTTTAGGGCTAATGTAGTTTTCTGTCTGTCCTGTTTGCTTATTTAATATTTGTTAGAAAGTAATACTAGACATGTACCTCCTATATTCCCAATACTAAACTACATTCCATATAAAGATTTAGATGTAAAAAGTTAATACATAATTAGAAGAAAACATATGAAAAAAACTTATTTAAATTTGTATAAGAAAGGAAACTTAGGCCCTGGCTAAGCTCAATGGATTAAGTGCCAGCCTGTGAACCAAAAGGTCACCAGTTCAATTTCCGATCAGAGCACATGCCTGGGTTGTGGGCCAGATCCCCAGTTTGGGGCAACTGATCGATGTATCTCTCACACATTGATGTTTCTCTCCCTCTCTTTTGCCCTTCCTTCTCCTCTCTCTAAAAATAAATAAATAAAATATTTTTTTAAAAGAAAGGCACAATAAAAAATGTTGAAAAAAAAGGCAACTTAAAAACATATCAGAAAGGCAAAGGCAACTCAGTAAAGTTAGAAGCCCAAAATTAAAAAGATAGACCTGAATGACTACACAACAGGATAAACAATGGCAATGGGACAGGCACATGAGCCATAATAAAAATCATGACTGCTAAAAATATCTGCGACACATATGACAGGCAGAGTTAATATCATTACAAAGTGATAAGAAAAAAACAAGCAAACCAAGAGCAAGGAGCGCAAAGGACATAAACAGACAATCCACAGAGGAGGAATCTGAGTAGCCAACAAATATGTGAAAATAATAGCTAGGAAAATAAAAATTAAAATAACAAACAACATCCTGTGCTGGAAAAAAAAACTATAGAAATGAGAACTATCAAATTTATTGTGTGAGTGTGTTTGTGTGTGTATGTTACTATAGACTTTTTAAGAATAATCCAGCAACATTTACAAAATTTTAAAAATTAATAAGACTAAAATACAAGTAAACATTCATTTCATCTTCTAATTTTATCTTTAACAGTTTTTCAAATCTATAGAAAATTTGCAAGAAAATGCACAACCTAAAGTCACTAATTGTTGAAATTTAATTATATTTACCTTCTTTCTCTTTCTCTACCTCTCTCTATATATAATATATAAGTACTATTTATATTGAAGAATAAAAATGTTTAAATGAAAACATTTTAAACTTGAAATGTAGGTGTGTCAGTGTCAAATCAAATACTTAAATAGGGGACTTCTGGCCAAGATGGAGATGTAGGTAGACACACTGTGTCCTTCTCATACAGTAAAAATAAGGACAACAATTTAGAACCAAAATAACAACCCGAACTGACAGAAAATTGAGCTGTATGGAAGTCCGACAACCAAGGAGTTAAAATAGACACATTCATCCAGACCAGTAGGAGGGCACAGCTGGGCAGAAAGGGGTCATGGCAAAAAAAGGAGTGACACTGGGGATGCAAGACGGCAGCAGGCAGACCCTGGGCACACAGGTGGTGGCTGATGGCTGGCAGACCCTGGGCACAGGGTGGCAACAGGCAGAACTAGTGAGGTGGTGATTGGGAAGCAGGGCACAGTGCACAAGGCAGTTGGCTGACAGGGTGGTCCCACATTCACACTCAGATAAACCAGGGGAAACTGGGGAGCAAGATAGACCACACAACCCAGGGTCCCAGCGCTGGGAAATAAAGCCTCAAAATACCAATTCAAAACACGGGGGGGGGGGGGGGTTGAGTTCACTGAGTCCAACAAAGGAGAGTTCACTGGAGAGACCCACAGGGTCTTAGAACGTACACAAGCTCACCCACCCAGGAACCAGCACCGGAAGGGCCCAGTTTGCTTGGGGGAAGCAGCAGAAGGGACTGGAGTCCAACAGAGAGCGGAACAAACACTATTGTTCCCCCTCGGACCCTGCCCCCACATACAGTGTTACATCCCAACTACTTGGGTTGTCCTGCCCTGGTGAACACCTAAGGCTCCACCCCTCAATGTAACAGGTACGACAAGACCAAAAAAAAAAAAAAAAAAAAAATGGCCCAAATGAAAGAACAGATCAACGCTCCAGAGCCAATACATCTAAGTGACAAAGAGATAGCCAACGTATGAGATGCACAGTTCAAAGCACTGGTGATCGCAATGCTCACAGAACTGGTTAATTTTAGTCACAAATTAGATGAAAAAATAAAAACTACACTAAGTAAAATGAAGGAAAGTGCACAGGGAACCAATAGTGATGGAAAGAAAACTGGGATTCAAATCAAGGGAGTGGACCAGAAGGGAAAAAGAAACAACCAAACAGAAAAGAATGAAGAAACAAGAATTCAAAACAATGAGGAAAGGCTTAGGAAACTCCAGGACATCTTTAAACATTCCAACATCTGGATTATAAGGGTACCAGAAGGGGAAGAGGAAGAGCAACAAGTGGAAAACTTATTTGAACAAATAATAAAGGGGAACTTCCCTAATGTGGCAAAGGAAATAGACTTCCAGGAAGTCCAGGAAGTTCAGAGAGTACCAAAGAAGGTGGACCCAAGAAGGAACACACCAAGGTGCATCATCATTACATTAGCCAAGATTAAAATGAAGGAGAGAATCCTAGAAGCAGCAAGAGATAAGGGGACAGTCACTTACAAAGGAGTTCCCATCAGACTGTCAGCTGATTTCTCAAAAGAGACCTTACAGGCAAGAAGGGGTTGGAAAGAAGTATTCCAAGCCATGAAAGACAAGGACCTACATTCCAGATTGCTCTATCCAGCAAAGCTTTCATTTAGAATGGAAGGGCAGATAAAGCACTTCTCAGATAAGGTCAAATTAAAGGAGTCCATCATCATCAAGCCTTTACTATATGAAATGTTAAAGGGACTTACCTAAGAAAAAGAAGATAAAAAATATGAACAGTAAAAAGACAGCAAACTCACAGTTATTAACAACCACACCTAAAACAAAAACAAAAGCAAACAACTAGAACAGGAATGGACCCACAGAAATGGAAATCACATGGAGGGTTAGCAACAGGGGAGTGGGAGGAGGAGAAGGGGGGAGAAGGTACAGAGAATAAGTAGCATAGATGGTAGGCAGAAAATAGACAAGGGGAGGGCAAGAATAGTAGGGAAAATGTAGAAGCTAAAGAACTTATGACACATGGATATGAACTCAAGGGGGGAAATGTGGGTGGGAGAGGGTATGCATGGTAAGGGCAATGAAGGGGGGAAATTGAGACAACTCTAATAGCTTAATCAATAAAATGTTAAAAAGAATTAAATAGAACCAAGCTGCATGTTCTGCACAAAACATGGTTCTATTATGTCAATGGCAACAAAATGTTATCAGGGGCAGAGAGTTTGCCTTATCCATAACTATATCTCTAGTGCCTAGAGTACTGCCTGGTACATGAAAGACTCTTAGTAAATATTTCTTAAATGAATGAGTGAATTGAATGAATAAATAAATATGAAATTATTTGCATTCTTTTATCATTTCTTTTTTCCATTCAGTTGAATATCTAACACAGGTGTCTCTAACTTATCTGAATAGAATCTCATTTGGAAATATGATGTGAAGTAAAAACTATGAATTCCTACATGATAATTCATGCTTAACAAAAATAGGAACTTTTGTGCTCAGTTCAGCAGCACATATACTAAAATTGGAATGATACAAAGAAGATTAGCATGGCTACTGTACAATGATGACACACAAATTTGTAAAGCATATCATATATTTTTTTTAAATTAGTAATTGTTGTAAGTTTGCTCATTTATAATTTATGCAGCCATCACTCACTCCCCAAACATTTACTGAGCACAGTTCCATTCCCAGCAAGATATTTGCTATGTCCCTGAATTAGAACAAAAGACGCAGCAGTGAGGCAGGGAAGCAAGCAAGTAAACAAACAACTAAGATGTTCTGATAGATTTAATATAACTAGAAGGTATTCTAAACACACAGAGGTTGAGAAACTAAAACTAATTTTGTCAACCAAGAAAGGCTACTTAAGGGAGGTACTAATATTTACACTGCTCTTTAAGGATGAGTAGGTGTTAGGCAGATGAATGATATTCTAGTCAGAGGAAGTGGCATTCATTCATTTACACATTTATTCCAACATTTACAGTGCTTACTATGTGCCAGTCCATAGAGTCTGGAGATGTATCAGTGAACAAGACAGAAAAGTCTAGGCTCTCCTGTGGAAAGAGATAATAAACAAATAAACCAAAAAAATATATAAATGACAAGAAGGCTAAGGGATAAGAGTGGGTCTGGGGCAGTGTGTGACATTTTAGATAAGGGAGTCAAGAGAAGGACTCGCAAAGGAGATGACGTTTGAGCAGAGGGTTGGGTGAAGTAAGTAAGGGCAGAACTGCAGAAGGAAGAGCTCTCAAGGCTCCTAGTTGTGCTTAAGGGTGAGCCTTTTGAAGAGATACTCACCCAGTCAGGTAATCTCCCATCTTCCTGATGAGTTCCACCTTCTCATCTAGGAAGTGGTTCTCCAGGAAGTCACAGAGATAAGGGTCTGTGCGGGCAGAACTCAGGGCATGCAGATCCAGAAGGGCCTGGTTCAGGTTCTTCTCCAAGGCCAAGACAGCTTCCATGGCATCCTGAGTTTTACCCCACTTGTCTTGGGACAGCTTCACCGAGTCCTGGAAGAGAATGTGGCCATGAGGCTGGTTTTGCAGCTTTAAGAGATGCTCAGCCTTGGTTGGTGTAGCTCAGTAGATTGAGCATAGGCTGTGAACCAAAGGGTCACTAGTTCGATTCCCAGCCAAGGTACATGCCTGGGTTGCAGGCCAATTCCCCAGTATGGGGCGCATGAGAGGCAACCACACATTGATATTTCTCTCCTTCTCTTCCCCTCTCTCTCAAAACAAATAAATAAAGTCCTTTAAAAAAGAGAGAGAGATGCTCAGTGCCCTCATGCTTCTACTTGGCCAACTCATGGATGAAGTGGCCCATGCCTTGCAAAGCCACATTGTCATGGTCAAAATAAAAGTACAGAGAGAGGTTGGTGTAGAAGGCCCGCAAATGCAGGTTGGCCAGGCTGTTGATGGTAGCCTCTATCTCGGTGGAATAATTCTGACAAATTTGGGAGCTCATTGTTGTTCAGCAATGAAGAATTCAGGTCAGAAAACAGTGTTGGCTGCTCTCGGATGCTGAGATGGCTGAGGTGGCTCCAAAGGCGGTGACTAGAAAAGAGGTTGGAGAGTAGTTGGAAAGAAGGGTGTCCTCAGTTCTGTTCTGTTCAAACCCTGTTAAGGCAAGAGATGGATTCCAGTACTGCCAAGGGGAAGAAGGGAGGAAGAGAAGCACCATCAGTTGTGGGTCAGTTGCTTCCCATAAGTGCCCTGACCTGGGAATCAAACATGCAACCTTTTGGTGTATGAGGTGATACTCCAACTAACTGAGCCACCTGGCCAGGGCTACTGCAAGAATTTAAAAAATATGCAACCTCTGACTATTTAGTCAGAGGCTCTGACCTCTTTCACCTTGGACTGTCAAGTAAAAAAATGACAACAGCCAATACAATAATAGCCATCTGGTGTAAATAAATCAAAATTATACCCATTATTTGTCAGATGGGCAAAAAATATATTTTTTGATGTGATGCAGAAGTTTAGTAATTAGTTTATGTGTGCCATGAGGCAAAAAAGGTCGACGATTGCTGCTTTAAGAGATCCTGTGCAGGACAGCCTTAATTCCTAGATGAGGAATCTGGGGCTCAAAGGTGAGGTCCTGACTATTTAAAAGACATACAATGACCAAGGACACAGAAAGGTCACCCTTGCTCTGATTCCACACCCAGTGTTCTTTCTGCTACCTCTGCTGCTTCATCTTAAGTAAAGACATTAAAAGTGACATAAACCTGAGGAACTTACACCGTTCTTTTCTTTTTCTCATAAAAGTTTGCTTTAAAATTTTTCACAGTTAAGAAATCAACCTATAAGCTTTCTGATATAGGTAAAAATTAAGATGAGTCCGTCACCTTGAGGCTTTATTTAAAGAGAATAACTAAGATCAAAACCTATCAGACTCAGCAGCTGGAGCTTTCTGTCTCTCTGATGTGATGAAGGTGGCAATATTTTTTTAATGTTTTTTTAACCATTTACTTTACTGAGTTATTAAATGTTTTAGCAGTCAGATAATGTTTTTAGAGACCCAAAAACATGAATTTGATGTCCCTAAATATTTTATTAAAAATTCCATTCTACAACTCAGTAAATGTACTAAGTATCTTTTTCACTTCGGATTTTAACTGATGTCCAAACCCACAGCTTAGATACTTTACAAAACTATGAGTATGTTACTGATGGGCTGGAGTTACTGTTTCAGCTTTGTAAATACATGACTTGCTCCAAATTCTTATGGGAGGAAGGAGTGGGAGAGGTGTGTGATGAATATGTGTAGAAATTAAAAATAAATAAAAGTTGCTGATAAATGGACTGTTTACTTGAGTAGTTTTTTCTTTTTTAAATATATTTTATTGATTATGCCATTACAGTTGTCCCATTTCCCCCACTTCATTCCCCTCCACCCTGCACACCCTTTCCCCCACCATCCCCCCTTTCATTTATGTTCATGTGTCACAAGTTCTTTAGCTTCTACATTTTCCCTACTATTCTTGCCCTCCCCTTGTCTATTTTCTGCCTACAGTCTATGCTACTTATTCTTTGTACCTTTTCCCCCTTTCTCCTCCTCCCACTCCCCTGTTGCTAACCCTCCATGTGATCTCCATTTCTATGGCTCTGCTCCTGATCTAGCTGTCCTCTTAGTTTGCTTTTGTTTTAGGTGTGGTTGTTAATAACTGTGAGTTTGCTGTCCTTTCACTATTCATATTTTTTATCTTCTTTTTCTTAGGTAAGTCCCTTTAACATTTCATATAATGAGGGCTTGATGATGATAGACTCCTTTAACTTGACCTTATCTGAGAAGTGCTTTATCTGCCCTTCCATTCTAAATGAAAGCTTTGCTGGATAGAGCAATCTTGGATATAGGTCTTTGGATTTCATGACTTGGAATATTTCTTTGCAGCCCCTTCTTGCCTGTAAGGTCTCTTTTGAGAAATCAGCTGACAGTCTGATGGGAACTCCTGTATAAGTGACTGTCCCCTTATCTCTTGCTGCTTCTAGAATTCTCTCCTTTATTTTTATCTTGGATAATGTAATTATGATGTGCCTTGGTGTGTTCCTCCTTGGGTCTAACTTCTTTGGGACTCTCTGAGCTTCCTGGACTTCCTGGAAGTCTATTTCCTTTGCCAGATTGGGGAAGTTCCCTTTTATTATTTGTTTAAAAAGTGTTCCACTTGTTGCTCTTCCTCTTCCCCTTCTGGTACCCTTATAATTCAGATGTTGGAACGTTTAAAGATGTACTGGATTTTCCTAAGCCTCTCCTCATTTTTTTTGAATTCTTGATTTCTTCATTCTTTTCTGTTTGGTTATTTCTTTCTCTCTTCTGGTCCACTTCCTTGATTTGAATCCCAGTCTTCTTTCCATCACTATTGGTTCCCTGTGCATTTTCCTTCATTTTATTTAGTGTAGCCTTCATTTTTTCATCTAATTTGTGACCAAAATCAACCAGTTCTGTGAGCATTATGATCACCAGTGCTTTGAACTGTGCATCTGATAGGTTGGCTATCTCTTTGTCACTTAGATGTATTGGTTCTGGAACTTTGATCTGTTCTTTCATTTGAGCCTTTTTTTTTTTTTTTTTTTTGGTTTGGTTGTGCCTGTTATATATGAGTGGCAAAGCCTTAGGTGTTCACCAGGGTGGGTCAACCCAAGTAGCTGGGTTGTATGTGGGGGCAGGGTCAGAGAGGGAACAATGGCATTTGTTCTGCTCTCTCTCAGATTTCGGTCTCCTTCTGCTGCTTCCCAGAAGCAAATTGGACCCTTCTGGTGCTGGTTCCCGGATGAGTGGGCTTGTGTACATTCTAAGACCCTGTGGGTCTCTCCAGTGAACTCTCTTGTGAGGCTGGGAGTTTATCCTGGCATCTCAACCCCAGGACGTTTTTTCAATTAGTGCTTTTAGGCTTTATTACCCGGCACTGGGGCCCTGGGTTGTGCGGGCTGTCTCACTGTCCATTTTTTTTTTTGCCTGTTCTATCTGCGCATGAATGTGTGTCTGCGGTCAGCCAGCCTCCTTGCGAGCCTTACTGGGTTTGCTCATTTTGTCCAGCACCCACCCAGGTCTGCTAACCACCGCCTTTTCCTGCCAGGACCCCTCTCCGTGGTCTCCGGCCCCCCCCCCCCCGTGGTCTCCGCGCCCCGGTACTGGTCTGGATGAATGATTTGTTGTTGTCAGACTTCGGTACAGTTCAATTTTCTGTCAGTTTTGGTTATGTGTTTGTTTCTAAATCTTTGTTGTCCTTAAATCTGGTTGTGCAAGGAGGTACAGTATTGGCACCTATCTTGGCCAGAAGTTCTACTTCGGTAGTTTTATATATAGTTTATATAGTAATATCTTTACTTATCCCATTTTTCTTTTCTTTACAAAATTTTATTCAATTCTATTAGCTGAACAACCTGCTGTTTTGACTAGCTTTCATATGCCTGAGAATCTGTATCAACACTGTCTCAAATTATCGTAACTTATGTGACTTATTTTGTCCATTTTTACTCAAGGTGAACAGTAGGAGATTAATAAGGAGGATGGACAACATTTTTAGGGAAGATAGATCATCAATGCTTGAAAAGGGATAAGAAAGAATAAATGATATATTTCAACTAGAT